CTTTCCTTTTATCTATGCTCAACTAGTAGACAAAAATGAGAGAAGTAGCATTATCTGTTAGTTGGGATTGTAAAGAGTGGTATTGGATGGCAAAATCTCCTGGGTTCTTTTATTTAGCTGTAATTATTTATTTAAAGGAAAAAATTATCTTGTGGCTGAAGGACAGAGAACCAGATGTTTAAAGATATTTAGTATCTGAAGATGCAGATGGGTGCCTACTGAGATTTTCAGAAGGACAAGAGTTAAGTCTTGCTTCACTTTACCTGCCTAACTGGTATACATGCAGCTGTGCTACCAATTTTTGGCACTTACACACAGTTTAGTGTTTAGCTCTGGTCATGTGAGTGTGCATCCATCCAATGAACATGCTCAGTAAAGCTGTGCTCTGTTTTGGCAGGTACACAGCAAAGACTGGGTAAATCCTAAAGTTGAAATTAGGCAAAAATCCATGATGAAGAGGAAGGAAAAAGGAAACATAGAACGGTCCTCCCATATTTTAGCCCGATAGCCTTGCAGTTAGGGCACTGGACCAAGGAGTGGCAAGTACTATGTAGCTCATCTAGCTTACTAGGAACCCATTGCTGCTATGGGTAAATCAGGTATTATGTCCTCAGCTGTTTGAAATGGGCAGTAATTTCTTATTAATGCTTTGGTCAGTGATTTAAGATCAGTGCAGATGCTCCATTTGCCTGAAGACTTTCTCACCATGACTTAGCTTCTGATGTACTGTGCTGGTTTCTGTAAATGTAATTGACTACTTTCTGGTCTCTGCCAGTGCTCTCAGTCTGTTCAACAGTCTCTTTAGCTGGTTGGAGTTTGCGTGTTGCCCTCTAGGTATCCATGAAATACGTCTTTGCATTCTACTATAATCCTGGACATGGTCTATGCTGACTGCCGTACTACTCTTTCATGTTCAGAATATTCTGCAAACAGATTCACAGTTTCCACTGCCTTATTACCCTGCAGAGGGCTGAATTCTTATGCATCATCATCTATAAGACTCAAGTAGTAACACCTGTTGAGCCATGGATTTCTTATTGACAGCCAGCATTTGTCTGCCTGCCTCCGAATGAATTTATTGTACACAGTCAGGCATTGGTACTCTCTCTGTACTCTAAAATTGAAATGCTCATGATTGCTGCTGGGATTACACTGAAGCTAGTTCTACAATTCAGCTGGAATCAAAATAGCAGTTGATCTACAAGCACAATGGCAAACAGGATGGTTGACTGGCTGGCAGCTGTCTTTGTTAGAGAGCAAAATGTTGAGGGTTCTGGAGTTGCTTAGCTTTCATTGCAGATGCCATCAGTTCAGTGAGCTTCTTCAGTGTCCACGGTGTGTGAGGGGAGAAGATGATTATGCAGATCATTAGAGAACAGGGTTGGGGGTGAGAGAAGCAGACAAGATTTTTATGTATCCCTTCTCTCTGCACTCAAGTGGCACCTGATACTGCTGTGGCTGCTGCTGTAGCAGTGTGAGCTCAGGCTGCCGCTGCTGGAGAACAGGCTTGCTGCTCAGCAGCAGCAATAGCCCTGTAGTGTGGGCTCCTCTGGTACCCCATTCACTGCCCCTCCCCACCCAGATACACTGCTGAGTGCAGGGCTGTGCCTGCTACAGTAAAGACTCCATGGAGGGAGAAGTACCTTTCTTCTCATCTCCCTGCCCCTCAGGTACACTACTTGGTGAGGGGCTGCACCTTTCTGGCTCCTGTGACCAAGCAGGGCAGAGCTATTTCTGCCATTGCAAAGATTCTGGGGGGTGCCATTCTGGCTCTACTTTTAGCTAAGTACAGACAGTCAAAAAGCCCAAGGCTGAATCAATT